AGTCGGAGCCACCCACAAATAAAAGCTTAGCTACCCTCTGCTTTCAGTTATTACAATTTCAGGAATCCACGTTGCTGCGATCGGTTAGTCTTTATGTTTTGTAATTTGCATTTTGTAGTCTAAGTCGTTCGTGAAGTTGCCTGCGAAATGCTTCATGGACTTCAAACCGGCCGGTGGCCTTTGCCACATTTTTCTCGCTTGTTTGAAGTTCCGTCACGAGCATAACTGGAAGAAGATTGATCTTTCTTCATCTTCTCGTTTGGAAAAACACATTGAAATGCTGGGGTGTGTAGAGCGCGACCTGATATCATCAAAATGTTGGGAGAAACCGGTGGTATTCATCTCTCCATCAATTGAGAAGGTGCGTGTTCTACGCATGTATAAGATAATTTTCTATGCTTGAATTTATTTTCATACTGCAAAGTTTTTAAATTAGGAAGTTGATTTCGTGGATGCAATCTGGAGTCCCTTACAGGACAAAACACCTTTCTGTGGCCCGTTGTTACCTTATATTTGTCGTTCCCAGCAGTAAATCACTCAACTTTCTAATAAGGCTCATGTGAGATCCTAATCGAGACCACTGTGAACTAGAAGTAACAGGATTTCAACAGTTGCACTTAAATTCACCTGGTTCATGAAGGTCGTTAAGCTTCAGTTTCAGTGGTACATATGGACATTATGATGTTCAGATGTTCGCCGAGCTTGGCAGTTGTATTGCAAACGTTTCATCACCAATCGAGGTGACATTCTCAATGCAGTAACTGGGTGTATACCACCCGAGCTACAAAAACAACAATCAACACCGTTGTTTACAAAAGTATGATTAACTTCTATCTTCGAGGCTGTAGGAATAAATTACAAAAATTCCTGTCATTTTTGTAGCGTTTCCAGCCCGTTCGTTAAAGCGTCTTTCTTCAATGTATCGTGCTTATTCTGATGGTTTTGTTTTTCCCCGTCACCTTCCATGTAGGCTTTTTAATAGGAGAGTCCAGGTTATGAGACAATTCGTGTTTCAAGTATTTACGATAGTGCGTGTTTTTTCATGGATGCATTCGTCTTCAAGTCTTAGAGTAGGAACTACAGTGAGAAATCTCCCATATTAGCCCCATCACAATATGCTCCGCTGGACTAACCATGTTAATACAGCCAGCACTCCTGCATAACTCTGTCGAGTTTCACAAGTCAGGTCAAGTCAATAATGTGGATTTTCAGCACTTCCAATAAGGTACAGCGAAAAGACGTTGAACATTAATAATCGTTTACCAAATGAAAAAAAACGGATGTGATGAAAAGCCAATGTAATAGTTGATTTTCCCAGTCGGTGACGACCGTCGAGCGCCAAGCATGGATAGCGGCCATCAGAGACATTCATGAAGCCGGCTTATCCTTTCCAAGGAGCCAGCCGTAGTAAAGTAAGTAAGTAAGGTGACGATAGTTATTCGGTTTACTAAGACACGAGCAAAATAAGGGATGATGTTGCTCCGGTATGTGGGGATACATGCACAAAGAGTCCCTAAGTTTGGAACGCGTACTCGGATGAAAGTTTTGAGATGGACATGCTGGTTGTTTTTCAATTGACAGTATACGGCTTTAAAATCTATCAGCTATACCCTCGTGCAGGGATAACGGCATTGATTTACTCCTAGGTGGCAGATTGTCTGATCTGGTGTATGTAGACGACATTGTGCTACTAAGAAAAGATCGAGATAAGCTGCAAGCTTCTCTGGATAGTTTGAATGCTAGTGTATCTATGTTTAGTATGCGTTTTGCACCTTCGAAGTGTAAAATGTTGCTACAAGATTGGGTTGGTCCAGCCCCCAACCTCAGTTGAGGAAGTAGATATTTTTTGCTTTCTGGGCAGCTGTCATCTGGCGGACGCGTCACAGATGAAGTGTCGGCACACATACAGATGGATCGATTGGTATTTGCCAACTTGGGACATCCGTGGCGCCATCGCGACATTCTGCTGTCCACGAAGGGTCGAGTGTTTGCTGCAGCAGTTCGTTCAGTTCTGTTCTAGAATGCAGAGAATTCGACATTACGAGAACGGGATAAAAAATTGATTGACGGTGTTCGAACACCGCTGCCTGTGTCGCATTGCACGGATCTGGTGTGGAAACCGGACGAGTAATGCTGAGGTTAGGTGCAGTTTTGAATAATCGCGATCGTCCAATGGAACAGGTGGTCGAACTCAGACTGCGGTGGTTGAGACATGTCACCAGATAGGTTGCCAAGGCGAGCGCTGTTTGCCGAAACAGGTAGCGGGAAAAGTCAAGGGTGATAAAAAACAAACTGTATAGCTGCTTCGACCACGTTGGGTATTATCACTGCTAATGAGTGCCAACAAAACCGAAGTATATTTATGTAGCCTGCCAGCTCTTCAAGATATGGTCTACATTTTGACTAGCTGATTAGCTGTTCTAAAATGTGGTCGCTTTTTTCCTTTTTAGGCCTTAACTTCTAGATTGATGGAGGCTGTAGAGCGAATGGGTGCTACTGTGGCTAGCTCCCCGGTGGAAGCTACGCATGTCATACACCCACCTCCGTCCAACTGGCCTGGAAATAGCTCTGAGGATAGTCAGCATCAACGCTTCCGTGTCATTTTTCAAGAAGGACGTGGTGTTCTATTACACTGGTTATACTCACCAGGGACATATACTACTTGGTTCACCGGTAAGTTTCCACCTTTGATTGTCCTTCCGAGTTCTCTCTATCGGTAACTTTTGATGACAAAGTGCAAAGTTGCTGATAATCTGTAGT